AAAAAAAAAAAGGGGAAAAATGGGGGAAAATTGGGGGAAAAATAGGATAAAATTGGGGAAAAAATGGGGGAGAAATGGCAAAAAAATTGATTAAAAATTGACAAAAAAATGGGGGAAATTGGGGAAAAAATGGGCAAAAAAAGGCAATTTAAACTGGGGGGAAATTGAGGAAAAAATGGGCAAAAAATGGGGGAAAAAATAAATTTTAAATGAGGGAATTGGGAAAAAAGGGGGAAAATATGGGAAAAAATGAGGAAAAAATGGGGAAAATTTGGGAAAAAATGGGGGGAAGTTGGGAAAAATATGGGAGAAATTTAAAGAAAAAATGGTCAAAAAATGGGGGGGAAATGGGGAAAAAATTAACAAAAAATGGGGGGAAAATGGGCAAAAAAAATAAAGAAAAAATTGACAAAAAATGGGGGGAAATTGGGGAAAAATAGGTAAAAAACGGAGGAGAAGAGGGCAAAAAATGGGGAAAAAATTGATTAAAATGGGGAAAATTTGGGGGTAAAAATTGGGGAAAATTGGGGGGAAAATGGGCAAAAAATGGGGAAAAAATTTGACAAAAAAATGGGGAAAAAATTTGACAAAAAAATGGGGAAAAATTGACAAGAATGGGGAAAAAAATTGACAAAAATGGGTGGAAAATTGACAAAAAATGAGGAAAAAAAGGGGAAAGTTGTAGGGAAATTGAGAAAAAATTGGGGGGAAATGGGGAAAAATGTTTAAAAAAAAGTGATTTAAAATGGGTAAAAGAAAGGTAAAAAATAGATTTAAAAATGGGGAAAATCTATTGTGAAAAAAGGTAAAAAACGGGTGAAAAAAGGGTGAAAACTAATTAAAAAAATGTTGAAAAAAATTGGTTCAAAATGGGTAAAAAAAGGGTAAAAAATAGATTTAAAAATGTGGAAAATCTATTTTAAAAAAAGGTAAAAAATGTGTGAAAAAAGGGTGAAAATGAACTAAAAAAATGAATGAAAAATGACCAAAAATTGGATTTTTTCTCCCCAGAACCCCGAGCAGTCGGACGAGGACGAGGAGAAAAGCCGCAGGGATTCCGAAGGTCGGGAAATTCGGGATTTTTGGGGCAAATTTGGGCAATTTTGGGCAAATTTGGGGATTTTTGGGATCATTTTGACATTTTTTTGACAATTTTTTTTTGATTTTCCGGGACAAATTTGGAGATTTTTTGGGGCAAATTTGGGATTTTTTTTTTTTTTTTTTCGGCATCACTTTGTGCATCCACACCAAAGCTTAGAAGTTATGGATGGAAAATCTGTTTGGGTTTTTTTTTTTTTTTTTTAGGCTCATTTTTGGGGCAAAATTTGGGATTTTTGGGGCAATTTTTTGGATTTTGGGGGAAATTTGGGAAATTTTTTTGCAAATTTGGGATTTTTGGGAGTTCTTTGGGATTTTTGAGGCAATTTTTGGGGAAATTTTTGGGACAATTTTTGGGATAATTTTGGGTGAATTTTTGGGGTAATTTCTGGCATTTTGGGGTCTTTTTGGGTATTTTTGGGGGGATTTTTGGGGGTAATTTCTGGAATTTTTGGCTGTTTTGGGATATTTTGGGTTTTGGGGCAATAAATTGAATTTTGGGGGAATTTTGGGGGGATTTTGGGGGAATTTTTGGAGTAATTTCTGTGATTTTTGGGGTTTTTTATGGGTAATTTCAGGAATATTTTTAAATGTTGGGATATTTTGGGTTTTGGGGCAATAAATTGAATTTTTGGGGGAATTTTTGGGGGAATTTCTGTGATTTTGCGGGTTTTTTACGGGTAATTTCAGGAATATTTTTAAATGTTGGGATATTTTGGGTTTTGGGGCAATAAATTGAATTTTGAGGGTAATTTCTGGCATTTTGGGGCCATTTTTGGCGATTTTTGGGCTGTTTTTTGGGGGTAATTTCTGGATTTTTTTTTTTAAATTTTGGGATATTTTGGGTTTTGGGAGAATAAATGGAATTTTGGGTGAATTTTGGGTTTTTCAGGCTCCGGTTCCTCCTCGGGGGCCGAGGACGAGGCCGGGAATTTCCTGAAGCGCCGCGAGCGCGACGAGCCCCGGAGCCGCTACAAAGTACCAAAATTGGGGCAAAAAATGGGGATTTTGGGCAAATTCGGGGGGGAAATTTGGGGGAAAATTTGGGGGAAAATTTGGGGAAAATTGGGAAAAAATTGGGGAAAAAATGGGGGAGAAATTGGGCAGAAAACGACAAAAATTTGAATTAAAATGGGAGAAAATGAGGGGGGAAAACGGGATTAAAATGGGGGAAATTCGGATTAAAATGGGTAAAAATTCAGATTAAAATGGGGGAAATTTGCATTAAAATGAGAGTAAATTTAATTAAAATTAGGGGGAAGTATGGGAGAAGTTATGAGGAAAATGAGAAAAAATTGAATTAATAAGGGGAGAAAAATGGGGGGGAAATTGGGATTAAAATGAGGGAAAATTGAATTAAATTTGGGGAAAATTGGGAAAAAAAATAAATTTGGGGGAAATTGGGATTTAAAAAATTGGGGGAAAATGGGGGAGAAATTGGGTGGAAAATGAGAAAAAAATCGAATTAAAATGGGATTAAAATGGGGAAAATTGGGCAAAAAATTGGGGGAAAATTGGGCAGAAAATGAGAAAAAATTGAATTAAAAAGGGAGAAAATGAGGGGGAAAATGGGATTAAAATGGGGGGAAAAATTCAGATTAAAATGGGGGGAATCTGCATTAAAATGAGAGAAAAATTAATTAAAATTGGGGGGACGTATGGGAGAAGTTATGAGGAAAATGAGAAAAAATTGAATTAGCAAGGGAGAAAAATGGGGGGGAAATTGGGATTAAAATGAGGGAAAATTGAATTAAATTTGGGGAAAATTGGGGAAAAAAATTGGGGGAAAATGGAGAAATTGGGTGGAAAATGAGAAAAAAATTGAATTAAAATGGGGAAAAAATGGGATTGAATTGGGATTTAAATGGGATTAAGTTGAGATTAAAATGGAGTTTAATTTGCATGAAAATGGGATTTAATTAAGATTTTATTTGAATTGAATTGGAATTTAATTGTGACTTAATTAAGATTTAATTGGGATTGAATTGGGATTTAATTGAACTTTAACTAAGATTTACTTGGGATTGAATTGGGATTTAATTGAGATTAAAATGGGGTTTAATTTGCGTGAAAATTAATTTAATTTGGATTGAATTGGAACTTAATTGGGATTTAATTAAGATTTAATTAGGGTTGAACTGGGATTTAAATGGGATTAAATTGAGATTTAATTAAGATTTAAGTGGGATTGAATTGGGATTTAATTGAGCTTTAATTAATATTTAATTTGGATTGAATTGGGATTTAATTGGCATTGAATTGAGATTAAAATGGGGTTTAATTTGCATAAAAACAGGATTTAATTGGGATTTTTCAATTGGGATTGAATTGAGGTTTTTTAATAGGGATTTAATTAAGATTTAATTGGGATTTAATTGGGATTTTATCAACTTTAATTGATATTGAATTGAGGTTTAATTGGGATTGAATTCGGATTTTTTAATTGGGGTTTAATTAAGATTGAATTGGGATTTTTTAATTGGGATTTAATTGAGCTTTATTTGATATTGAATTGGGATTGAATTGGTATTCAATTGAGCTTTAATTAAGATTTAATTGGGATTGAATTGGGATTTTTTAATTGGGATTTAATTAAGACTGAATTGGGATTTTTTAATTGGGATTTAATTGAGCTTTAATTGATAT